ACCCTGCTCCACGGCCCCTAGCCCGGGCTTTTTCTAACTGGAGTGGCCCCGCCCAGAATTTCCTCCCCTGCCCTGCCAGCCAATCAGATTGGGCCATGCCGGGGCCCCCGCAGGGCCCACCTCCGCCCTGGACTGATCGGGCGCACGTTCCTCTCACCCCGCACCCATCCCGGAATTCTCCAAGGATGGCGTCCCCGCACCCCTCCTTTGGCATCCCTTAGCCAGCTCCTGGCATTGTCCCTAAACGTGCCCCTCTGGGTTGGGAACATCTGTCTTCTAAGAACACTGGCTTCCCTCTTGAAGCGGTGCATGCTCTGCATCCTTCCACGCTGTGCCCAGTACACACTTTGCTGTGGCTGGATGTCCCCAGGAGCTGCCCTGCTAGGTCTGGACCTCTCTGAGCACACTCTCCCCGTGGTCTGCTGTCCTGGGACATTCAGTTTGCTTAACGGAGAAGTTCCCAGGCACACACGCTCCCATTGCTGGGAGCTCTTCGGCAGCAAACTGTCATAGCTGTGAAGCTCTGGGAGCTTACTCCGCTGTGACTGGGGGTCCCTCGTGTTTTAGAGGAAGGCAGAGCCACTTTCTGCCATCACCGGCTAAGACCTCACATTCCCTCTAGTTTGCTCAGGAGTTCACAGTGGGAAGAAGTCCTAAGAGCAACCGTTGCTGAGAATGGGGAGGGATCAGTGATCAGCCGTGATGAACTCAGCTCGGTCTGCATTCTGGCTGAGTGCTGTGCCGTTACGCCGGGTGCCACGGCAGTGAGCTAGGCTGCAGTGGCTGATAGTTCCCTTACAGCGCAAGCTGTGTCTGGTTGATGGGGCTTGTTCTGGCCACAGCAGCTTCCGTGGGATAGTGTTTTGGGACACCCCTCCCCACACCCTCCTAACAGTCTGGATAGGCATGCTGCTTGTTCTACGGGTTGCCAGCGCTCTCTGGTGATGAGCCACACGGTAGACTTACAGCTCTGCTCCACCTCCCTGTCCATTCCAGGCACCCAGACTCAGTGATGGGCATAAAACCACCACCATCCTGGCCCTCCTGCCCCTCTTGTCCTCTGTAGAAGAGGTGTTGCAGCCCTGTGGTTCACAGATCTTGCCCAGTAAGAGTGTTGGAGCTATGAAGGAGAGTTTAAGGTGGGCATGGCTGAGACCTATAGCCAAAGAACCCAGAGCTACCAGCCCTGTTCATGTAGCAAGGTCTCAAGTGTGTAGAGGGGGTACAGTGACTTAGGAAGATCCTTGGTCCCAAATCTCTCACCACAAAGTGCTGGCTGCTGACTAAGCACTACCCAGATGTTATCATGGGTGGCCCCTATTTTTACCATGTGAAAACCCCCAGACATTGCCATCGGTGTACCCCAAGCTATGATGGAGGCAGACTCCCCCACATCTGCCATAACCTAATCAAGACGGGACCCCAGTCTTTGTCCTGTCGGTACTGGGATGTGCGAGTCTGCCCTGCCGCCTTGCGGCTATTTAGAATCCACACTTCCAAATGACTACATTACCGATAGGCAGGCTCGAGGGAGTCAGCACCCTAGACAGAAGAAAAAACAATCCACAGACACTCCTGTGCTAGACGCGGCAGTGCAGCCTCTTCTCTTGTGGAAAGGATCTCCCTCTGAAGCCAAGAACCCTATTATCCAAGGCATGGGAACTCCCTAAGTCTCCCATCATCCACCCCCATTTCCCTCAACTTCGACAGCCTGACTAGGAGCATGCTGGAGGGGTCTGCCTGGGGTGGTTTGCATAAGCATTCTATTCACCAATGACACTTGTAAAGCATGGCGGCACCATGGGTGACCTGGTACATTGCCGCGGGTGAACCACGACCACCCTGCTTCAGCACCCATCACCGCGGGCTACATTGTATGAGACTGGACTGCCATCTCGCGGTGTCTTCTGTCTTTTACCCACAACCGATTCTGTGCCATTGGCAGGGTGAGAAGCCCTCACTGGTTTCGGGGATCAAGACCGAAAGGGGACAAGTCTAGAAATGCACAAACATCCTATCCCCTGTCCAATCTGTTGAACCAGCGTGCGGCCATGGCATCATTGGTAACTTGGTACATTACCATGGGCAAACCGTGACATCATCGGTAACTTAGTACATTCCGTGGGCAAACCATAACATCATCATTAACTGGTACATTACCACGGGCAAACTGTGACATCATCGGTAACCCGGTACATTACCGCGGGCAAACAGGCTGAATCATTGGTGACTTGGCACATTACCGCGGCAAAACCGTGGCTTCGGCACCCGTCACCTCGGGCTGTGATGTGTTAGACTGGACTGCCATCTCGCGGTGACTTCTGTCTTTCACCGACAGCCAATTCTGTGCCATTGGCAGGGGGAGAAGCCTCACTAGTTTTGGGGCTCAAGACTGAGACACCACTAGAAATGCACAAACATCCTATCACCTGATGAGTCTGGTGAACCAACGTGCGGCCATGGCATCATTGGTAACCCAGTAGATCACCATGACCAAACCGCGGCACAATCGGTAACCTGGTACATTACTACGGGCAAGTCGTGACATCATCAGTAACCTGGTACACTACTGCAGGCAAACTGTGGCATCATTGGTAACTTGGTACATTACCGCAGGCAAACAGGCTGCATCATTGGTGACTTGGCACATTACCGCGGCAAAACCGTGGCTTCGGCACCCGTCACCTCGGGCTGTGATGTGTTAGACTGGACTGCCATCTCGCGGTGACTTCTGTCTTTCACCGACAACCAATTCTGTGCCATTGGCAGGGGGAGAAGCCTCACTAGTTTTGGGGCTCAAGACTGAGACACCACTAGAAATGCACAAACATCCTATCACCTGATGAGTCTGGTGAACCAACGTGCGGCCATGGCATCATTGGTAACCCAGTAGATCACCATGACCAAACCGCGGCACAATCGGTAACCTGGTACATTACTACGGGCAAGTCGTGACATCATCAGTAACCTGGTACACTACTGCAGGCAAACTGTGGCATCATTGGTAACTTGGTACATTACCGCAGGCAAACAGGCTGCATCATTGGTGACTTGGCACATTACCGCGGCAAAACCGTGGCTTCGGCACCCGTCACCTCGGGCTGTGATGTGTTAGACTGGACTGCCATCTCGCGGTGACTTCTGTCTTTCACCGACAACCAATTAGTTTCAGGGCTCAAGACTGAATGCACAAATATCCTATCCCTCGATGAGTTGTGAACCAACGTATTGCCACGGCATCCCTGATAACCCAGTACATTATAGTGGGCAAACTGTGGCATCATCAGTAACCTGGTACATTACCATGGGCAAAACATGACATCATCAACCCGTAATTACCACAAGCAAACCGCGGCATCACTGGTAACTTGGTACGTTACTGAGAGCAAACCAGTACCCAGTACATTACCACGGGCAAACTGTGACATTATCAATAACTTGGTACATTACCGTGGGCAAACTGTGACATCACCAATAAGTTGGTACATTACCGCAGGCAAACTGACATCACCAATAACTCGGTACATTACCGCAGGCAAACTGACATCACCAATAACTCGGTACATTACCGCAGGCAAACTGTGACATCACCAACAACTCGGTACATTACCACGGGCAAACCGTGATCTTTGGTAACTCGGTACATTACCGTGGGCAAATAGGCTGAATCATGGTGACTTGGCACGTTACCGCGGCCAAACCATGGCTTCGGCACCCGTCACCTTGGGCTATGATGTGTAAGACTGGACTGCCATCTCACGGTGACTTCTGTCTTTCACTGACAACCAATTCTGTGCCATTGGCAGGGTGAGAAGCCTCACTAGTTTGGGGGCTCAAGACTGAAGGGGACAACTGTAGAAATGCACAAACATCCTATCCCCTTGGATGAAACACCGCAGCACCATCAGCTACCTAGAATGTTGCCGTGGGTGAACCTTAGCTGCCATTTTACAGTGACTTCAGCACCACCCCAAGAGTGAGATATACATCTCATTTGGTGGCACAAGACCAAAGGGGATGACTCCAGAAATGCACAAGTGGCTGTGGTCTAGCCACGGATTTACGGCACACACACTCTATGCACATGCATGCCGCGTGTAGCTGCCAGGCCGGTGTGATGATCCCTAAGCTCAGGGAAGGGAATTGGATCCCGAAGATAAGCACACTAACCTTGTCAATCTTCACCATTCACTGCTTTTCCCAGACTTCGAGGTGTTTCAGGCACTCACTTTGAAGAACTGTAGAATCTTTGGCCACAGACAGAGGCAGCCACTCTCAGGTCTTTTGCATCCAAAGTACTCAATTAGCATCTCAAAACCCAAATCGATGGGGATGTTAATGCCGGGGCCTTAGGGCAGAGGAGCTCTAATCTTTCCCCCAGAAGAGAGAGCTTCAACCAGAAGCTCAGCACTTGGGAGTCGGGCTTTGGTGGGCTTGTTTTTCTGATATTTGTGGCACATATTGCAGTCACCATATCTGGTAATTTGATTTTCATGCCATTGTCAAAAGCAAGCATGGAGTAACCAGATACCTACAAGCTCACACAAGTGTCCTATTCTCCTGGTGACCCTCATGAACTGCTATAGTACCGTGGGTACTGAAATGTCGCCAACGGCAAACCACGTCCGTGGCCACTGGCCTCCTTGGGGCTGTGATTTGTGAGAGTGCACTGCTAACTAGAGGCAACTTCTGTTTCCTGGCCCATAACTAATTCCACACCATCCTGAAAATGAATGCACTTTGGTTTTGGTTGACTCTAGAAATATACAGTGTCCTCTTCCTCTGATGACCCTTGTGAACTGCTATGACACTATAGGTGACCCAGGATGTTGCTGCCAGTGGCGAACCTGTGTCAACCAGAGGCACTTGGCTGCCTTCTGAGTGCGCTGCCTTCTGAGTGCGCTGCCTTCTTGCGGCAACTGCTGTCCACG